GGGGCTGGAGCCACGCGACACACAGGGCTGCGTTCGGCATCCACGGCGGTACCCAGCACTCGCCCAGGGCTCTCCCTGGCACTCAGGGCTGTCCCCCGCACTCAGGTCATTCCCCGGCTCTCGAAGCTGTCCCCGGCTCTCGAAGCTGTCCCCGGCACTCGGAGCTGTCCCCGGCACTCGGGGCTGCCGCCCTCATCCATCTCACCTGTGCCAGCACTCCAAGCCCAGCTCCAGCCCACGCTTCCCCACTTCCCCTGCACCCAGGGCCCGGGGCTCTCCCCAGCACGGGGCTGGCCCCAGCAGTCCCCCCCGGCTGCTCTGTCCCTCTCATCCATCCCGCCTGCCCCCGGGGTGCCACGTCCATCCGCAGACCCTCACACCACCCCCGGCCCCCGCTCCGGTGTGTCCGCAGTGCCCAGCCTGGGCTGTCCCTGACACCTCGCGGTGTCCCTGCACGCCCCGGAGCCGCTGGGGACACAGGAGTGTGTCACTGGGGACACAGGATTGTGCCGCTGGGGACACAGGAGTGTGTCACTGGGGACACAGGAATGTGCCACTGGGGACACAGGATTGTGCCGCTGGGGACACAGGAGTGTGTCACTGGGGACACAGGAGTGTGTCACTGGAGACAGGATTGTGCCGCTGGGGACACAGGATGCTGTGAAAGGCCCCAGCTAAGGGGGCCGGTTCCCCTCCAGTCACCCAGGGGTGTCAGGGGTGCCCACCTCTCCAGCCCCGGCAGCCCAAAGAAGCACAGGCACAGGCGGGCAGCAGGGAGCACTTTACCAAGCTGGCGAGATAAAAAGTACAACATTCCGTAGTTGGCACCTTGGCGGCCCCCACCTTGGAGCAGGGCTGTCCTGCCAGCCGCACTCTTCCCAGGAACCCACTGCCTTCCCAGCGGAATAGCCACAGCCAGAGGGAGCAGGGAGTGAGTGGCCAGAGACGAGCACTCAGCCAGGAAGAGCCCCAGGAAGAGCATGTTCCTCCAACCAGGGAAATTAGGACCTTCATCCCATGGCCAATCTCCATCACACAGCCGATCTCCATCCCACAGCAAATCTCTGTCTCACAGTTGGCCTCTGGCCCACTTGGACATTTCACCCCAGCAGCACTGGCCACTCCAGCTGCCAGTGGTGCTGGGGGTGTTGCAGGGAGGTCCCTGCCCTGTGCTTGCCCCCAGTCCACTTTGCCGACTCTGTCCCTGGTTTCCTGAGCAGTCATGTGCAAAATGTACCTGTCCCCAGAGCTTCCCAAGCTGTGCCCTGGCCCCATCCCGAGCCAGCACCCTGCCACTGGCTGGGGCCACGGGATGGGGGTGAAATGTGGACATTCATTAGAGCTTTTTTAGTGGGTTTTTTCCTGAGTTTCTCAGCCTGGCTCTTAATTACAGGCTTAAATTTGCAGCCCTGGGAGAGGAAAGAGAGAGATGGGTGAATACCAGGAGGGAGGAGAGGGGAACCAACTGGAGCCTCAGTGGGATCAGATCCAGGGCGGTGGCAAGGATGGGGAAGTGTTTGCCCAGGCTGTGTTCCCCAGGGATGCAGAGCTCCTGGTGGGGCAGAGACCCCCTAGAGCAGCCCATGCCCATCAGAGGGGCAGCTGAAGCACTGCTGTGGTGCTCTGCTGCTGCCTGGACCCACTGTACTGCTCCCCCCAGCACAGGAGGCTGGAGTGTGTGGAAATACATCAAGAAATCAGGCAGAAATTTCCCTAAACACCCTGTTTCCTTGTCAGCCATGGCTGGCCCTTCCTGTTTCTCTGGGTGTACGGCCATCCTCCTGCTTGGAGCTCATGTTTCCTCCCTGCCCTGCCCCGAGCCCCACACCACAGCCTCTGTTACTGGCTGCTGGCCCCCCTGCTGGAGCCAGGCCAGGAAGAGGCAGCTGGGGGTGAGGGGGACAAATCCCATCCAGGGATGTGCAAACCCTCTTCCATGGCCCCGTGCACATACCCTGATGGATGTGTCCCACTTGGCCTTGCTCAGCTCCCTGGTGGCCAGTGGGCACAGGTGAGTGGTGGGCAACCCTGGGGGGACCCAGGAATCACCAGGGAGGTGGCTCAGGTGATGTCCATCTGCATTCCAGCCACCATCTTGGTAGCATCTCAGGACCTCCGGTGGCCAGGGCAGCAGAAGTTGTCGCAGGGTCTGTTGTGGAGACGCAGGAGGCAGAGCTGGGGATCAGATTCCTTCCCATGGCACAGCACCCTCATTGCCCCAGTTGGCAGCTGGGTGCAGGACCCCCGGCGTGGGGGCTGGCAGGGGGTGGGGTGGCTGCCAGTCCCCCTGTGCAGCGAGGCCAGGGGGACTGGCAGTGGAGGTGACCCCAGGGTTTGTTTTTGGACTGAGAGCTGAGGAGCTCCAAAATGCAGCATTTTGGGGGCTTTCAAGGGGTGGGAGTTTGGCTTGAGGTGGTGGCGCTGGCTGCGGACGCCGGGTGCCAGTTCCCTGTGTGACAGGGAGGATGCTCAGGGCAATGACAGGGAACCTCCTGTGACTCTTCAAAAGCAACCGCAGATCCAGCCGAACCCCTGGTGTCTTCCCAAAGTGCATCTGTGTGTCCAGCTGAATTTAACCAGGGGATCTCTGCATGGGAAACTCAAGGTACAGTGTCAAAGGGAAGAGAATCAAACATCACCACCACTGTGCATTAGAAAATCTGTTTAAAGTACCACATGCCGAAGGGACCAAAGAGTCTCAAACTGCTTTGCTGTGGGCACGGGGCAACACCAGGGGCTGTGATCCTGTTCTGCTTCCTGGGCAGGTGCCTTCAATCCCAGGAGCTGGCTCAGCCAGGGCCAGTTCCAGCCACTTCCCTCATGGGAAGGGCCCAGAGTCATGAGAGCTTGGGCTCCAGCCACTGCCTCTCTGCCAGCAGCTCTCCAAGTAAGGAACAAAAGCAGAAGAACCCCGCAGCAGGATACAGGGGCTCCCCAGCAGCCAGGACAGCCCTTTGCAGCAGCGCTCCCTCTGCAGCCATTGCCACCCCTCCGGCTGGAGGGGCCCCTGTGTGGTCAGGGCTGGCTTTTGGGGCTGTTTGCACCATCCAGCTCAGGGGCAAACTCTGTGATGACCCTCCGGGCCAGCGGGTTCGTGGTCTTGAGCAGTTCGGCGGCAGATGGCCGAGTACCGGGGCTTGTTTTGCTGCTCTTCTTCTGGAGCAGGGCTTTAAAATCCTCATTCCTGCTGGAAGACTTTCCACTGCTGCTTGCTGCTGCCAGAGACTCTCCAGTTGGGGAGCCTGAAGTCTTTACAGGTGAATGGGAGGTGGGTCGGCTGCTGAAGGTGTCACCAGGCTCTTTTCGCCCCAAGACCTTCCTCTTCGACCTAGGCACCAAAGGGACACGGGTGGAAGCAGTCTGGGGCTGGGGTGAGGTCCCAGAGTGAGGGAGTGAGGGTCATGGTAGTGCCCAGCCTGCTCTGCTGGGGCAAGGTGACAACATGAGCGTGGCGGGTGATGCTCCTGGCCAGTAGGACTAATCTGGACCCTCCCTGCTGGTTGCACTCTGCTCAAGGTAGCAGCAACCAGGCTGTCCCCAAGGAAAAACATTGGCCCCAGTATGGAAAATGGAGGGATCATGGTGGAGGGACACTACACCCAGAGTTGTGACAGTGGGCTGTCCTCTCCAGTGCATGCACCAGCCTTACCTGTGGATCACTGTGAAGAGATCCTCCGTAGTGCGGGACGTTGTGAACACCTCATCGTCCTCCTCCACGATGGACTCGGCCGTCTTGTCGCTGGCAAAGCTCTTCTCCTCCGTGCCGGCTTCTGCTGAGCTGCCTGTGGGCAGGGAGACGACAGCAGTGAATCCCCTGCACAGCACAGGGAACCCCTATCCCTGGGGTGATCCCACCACAGGGGTGGAGAGACCCTCACCTTGCTCTGAGGCAGGCTCGCTGGCAGGCTCGCTGGCAGGCGTGGTGCCCACAGCCTCGGGGGATGGCAGATCCTCAGCGTCAGGGTCGCAGCAGGTGGGGTCAGTGTCCAGGGTGATGATGGGGCTGGGGGTGGGTGGCAGGTCCCCCACAGCAGTTCCCAGCTGTGCCGGGGCTGGGATGAGCGGCAGGTACAGCACGCTGGGCTTTTTGGGCACTGGCGGGGGCACCTTGGCCTTCCTGCGCTCCCCCTCGGCACCGCTCCGCTCCGGCCGCAGCTCGTCCAGGCTGCCCTGCGAGAGCCGCCGGGGCCCCGCTGGGGTCAGAGACAAGTGGGGCTCCCCCAGACCCCTCCTCAGCTCCCCTCTCCGCAGCACCACGAAGGCGTCCTGTGCCAGCCCCTTCTCCTTGGCGGTAGTGCCTGGTGGGGATTTGGGGGACAGGGGACCCTCCTCCCGCAGAACTGGGGGCTTGGGCAGGATGCAGGGGGGGCGCCTGGCCAGTGGTGGCTTCTCTGCCACGGGTGGCTTCACTTTCCTCTCTGGCCCTGGGCAGGGGACGTGGGCTGGCTCCTCTGTGTGCTCTGGGCCATCAGCGTTGTCCTCCGGCTCTGAGCGGCTGATGGAGCGGAGGCGGACAGAGCGCAGGTCGGACTGTGTCACCACGGGCATGATGGGTGTGATGGGACTCGTCTTCTGGGCCAGCTTGGTGCCAAAGGTGGAGTCAGAGTGGTGCCGGCTGACCTTCGTCTTCCCTTTCAGGGAGATCTTCAGCCCTGAGAGGTCGAGGTGGGCGGGTGGAGTCAGTGGGAGGTCGAAGGACAGCCTGCCCTTGGGGCTCCTCTCCATGGGGGATATTGGGGGCAGAGAGGATTTCCTTTCGGGAACCAGTGGCCTCACACGCACCTGGTGCGGGGAGTGCCCGAGGATGGTGGAGGTGGGTACGGTGGGGGTTGGGGTCTCTGACTGACTGGAGTACCCACTGGAGGGGGACATCAGCCCCGTGGGCCTGCCTGGCGAGGAGGTCTTGAGGTCTGCCTCGGCAGAGAGCTGGGAGGGCGTCGTGGCCCTGGAGACTGAAGGGGACACGAGGGACTCAGAGCTGCCCTGTGTCTTGGCACATTCAACAGCCGTGGTCCCTGTGGTTGTGCTTGAGCCAGAGAGGGACTGGTAGTGATCACTGCTGGCCCTCCAGTCCGTGAGATGCCACTGGTGGGGGGCAGCTGTGCTGTTGGGCTCCCTGCCTGCACTCCCCTGGGGGTCGGCGTGCACCAGCCGGTGACCCTGGAGCTCTGGTGGGATGCACAGGCTCTTGGGCCGATGGTCCTTGGGCAGTGCCGCACTGAGCCCCACGTCACCGTCCTGCCCCTCTTTGATCAGCGAGACGCTGCGTGTGGGTGGCGAGGGCTTCTTCTTGGCCTTCTTCAGGGAGATGCTCTTGGAGCGCCGCCGCCGCTGCCCCTCAGGCTCCAGCCCCAGGGAGATGTTGTCGGTGCTGGTGCTGCCCTCGGAGCTGGCGCTGGGGTAGCCCAGGGCATAGTTGGCGCTGCCCCGCCGGGTCTCGGCGTATGCGATGTCCACGGAGCAGAGGGACCCCGAGTCCGTGGGCACTGACAGTGACCGCTCCCGGAACCGGCACCCTGCCCGCTCCACCTCCAGCTGCGCTGGCCCTGCCGCTGGCTCCAGCTCCTCTCGGCTGCCCGGCAAGAAATTCCCCTTGGCTCCCTGGATGCACTCGGAGCTAGGGGGGGAAGCAGGCACTGGGCCGGAGAAAAAGCTGGGCCCGTTGCTGCCCATGCGCTCTTCTGTGGTGATGAAGAAGGAGGTGGAGGCGGCGGGTGAACCTGGGCTGGGCGATGGGATGAAGCCGCCCGGCGAGGTGCAGGTGGGCCCCTTGCCTGGGCCAGTGGTGAGGCTGGGGGGGCTCCCATAACCCAGGGGGCTCCAGGGCGGGGAAAAAGGGGTGCCCTGTGTCCCATTGCAGGCACTGGCACAGGGGTTGGCTGCCCCATCCATGGCAGCAGGTGGCTGGCAGCAGCGGGCCCCGAGGTCACTGAAGGTCTTCCTCAGTGGGGCTGAGAGGGGTGGACGAGGGCTGATCTCCTGCGGCGTCGTCCCCCTGCTCGTGGTTTCAGGCACAAAGCTGCAGGACAGTGACTCACTGATGGGCGCGTGTGTGCTGGATGTGGGGCCGTTGGCGCTGCCTGCAGGGAGAGACACAGCCTGGTGAGCACCTTCCTGCCTCCCTCACAGGGACATGGCCCTGCTCCGCATGCTGTCCCAGCCCGTGGCCAGTCTTGAGGCTGCACCTCTGCCCAGGCATAAAATGTGGATCTGTTGGCTGGAATGTGCCATGGACAAATAAGCAGCCATGGCAGGAGGCTCTGCCCATGGGGACATCAGTCTCATGGCAACCAAAGTGTTGCCCTAGTACTGCTCCATGGTGGGGACACAGATGGGGTTCAGAAGGAGCCAGGTCAGGCATTGCCAGCTGGGACAAGGAGGGACATGGTGGCTTACAGTGCCACCCCATCACAAGAGCCAGCAGCCACACTCTGAACACCCCCCAGCAGACAGGGATGCTGAAGTGGTGAGCTGAGGTCTGACTGACTCCAAGAAGGAGCCATGACCATCCTGCTGATGGTCTGGCCACTGTCATGGGGAGAAACCTTCCTCGTACCCCATGAAAACTACCTTGGAGCAGCTGGTGCCATGGCTTCTTGCCCTGTCTCTACCTGCCTCCAGAGAGAGGCTGGCTCTGATTTCTCTACACCTACAGCAGGACAGAGCACCTGAGCCACAGGTGCTGCTCCCAAAAGGTCCAGTGCCAGCCTGGAAGCACTCCAGGCACTCTCACATGCACTCCAGGCACTCTCACATGGCATGGCCAGCTTGCCAGCCCCAGCAAACACCTGGCCAGGTGTGTGCCTCACTGCCATGGCACCCTGAGACAGGGTCTGCCCATGGGGAAGGTGGGCACAGGGAGCTGTTGGAGCCCAGGCTGGGTGACTGTTGCCTCAGAACCCTGACTCAGGACGAAGGGGACTGTCCCTGATGCCATGCCAGCCTCAGGCCAGCCCAGTGTCACCACTGAACCCAGCACCTCAGTGCTTTGGGAGGGTGCAGGGTCAGTATGATGCACCTCCCCACCGTCCGGGCATCCCCGGGAGCCCATCTGTGCCTGGGCTGGCTGCCAGCCCTGGGATGGCTGTGCCACCATCGGGCAGCTCTGGGGGTTGCCAGCCCTGCCCGGGTGCTTCCTGCGCGGTTCTTGCCGTCACCTTGGTCTCGCAGGGACAGGTTAGGGAATCCAATAATGGTCCGTCTACGCCGCAGGGTGGACTTGGGGTTCATCGCGGTCTCTGTGTTAAACAGGGAGTGACGAGCACTCGCGTGCCTAGCAAAGTGCTGCCCTGTAGCCAAAACAAACAGCGGTACGCCGCGGTGCCGGGAGCCGCTGCTGGGCCGGGAGCTCGGCCCCCTCCGTCACCCCTGTTCTCTGTGTGTCCCCAGCCTGGGATGGTGACACAGGTGGGAGTGTGGGATGCAGGATGATGGTGTGAGCCACGTGGGTGAGCCCAGGGAGATGGAGGCATGGTGGGAATGCTGCAGAGGGAGGTGAGATGGATGGAAAGCCACAGAGATCAGCCCTGCGCCGTGTGACAGGCACTGGTCTGTGCTGGTGAGGCCGGGCCGCAACAACACTGTGGTGAGCCAGACTGGGGATGGGTACGTGAGGCATGGAGAGGGACCAGTGTGGCTCTGGCACAGCTCTCCATGATGGAGGGAAAGTGCAGAGAGACACCTCTGCCCTTCAGAAGGGGCACCTCACCCAGCCACCAGCCCCTGACTCTGACCTGGGCCAGAGCATGGCACCTGTGTCTGCAAGGACTGGGCAGGGCTGTGCTGCTGGGAGCTGCGGCCTCAGGAGGATGAGCAGATGGACAGACAGGGGAGACAGGTGAGACAGGTGAGATAGGCAGGGTGCACGGTGTGTGGTGAGAGCCCAGGTGACAACAGACCTGCCTGGCAGGGCATTACATCAGGGATGTGAGACCTGCCAGCAGCATGGCCAGCGGACCAGACGCACAAAGCTGCAGATGGCACGAGACATGGCTTGGAGTGATGGACACCAGTATGGCCCTGCTGTCCCCTCTCTGCCCCGGTGCCCACCTAACCCACAGGAACACAGCTCACAGCCACAGCCCCCTCCCACCACCCATCCCCTGCCCCAAATGGCTGCTGGGGCGCATCCCTGCCTGCACCCCGTGTCCCCCCGCCTCGGCATGGGGTGCTGACCTACCGGAGACATTGATGGGGACAATGTTGGTCTGGATGGAGCCGGGCTGGTGCCACTGCTTCTCCTCCACGGGGGGCAAGGGGAAGGCCCTGGGCCAGGGGGGCTGTTTGTCGGGGCTGGTGGGGAGGCTCAGGGAGGTATCAGGAGGCCGAGCACTGAGCACGGTGCTGCTGCTGGTCTCTTCTTCAGCTGCTCGCTGGCTCGGGGGCTACAGGGAGAAAGGCAGGTCAGCCACAAAAGGGACAAGGGTGTAACACAAACAGAGACTTGCTGCCCACCCTGCCACCTCAGAACTCACCATAAGCACGAACTCAAGGCGCTTGGCAGGTGGGGGTCGAGGTGATGGTTCAGGGGAGGTGTCGGGGGGCAGGTGACCAGCAGCACGGAAGGTCTGCCCAGTGACCCTGCTCTCGGTGTACTGCTCCTCATACTCCTCTGCAAGAAAAACAGCACCTGGAACTCTGCTCCTGCTGCTAGATCCTGGAGCAGTGGGCATGTGAAGGGATGGTGACTGTCCCCTCTGGCTGTCCCCAGCCTAGCTGGCCATCCCTGCTCAGGACACACAGCTCAGAAGGTGAGGAAGGGAGACCCCAAGGAGGGGAACTGAAGAAGTGCAAAGATGCCAGCAGCTTGGCCCACTCCTCCTGGGGCGCAGTCAGGGGATGCGGTGGGTCTCACTGGGAAACAGCCCCACTGGGGACAGCCAGGAACTCAGTGTATCCCCATCCTGTAATTGTTGAGTTAATTAATGCTGGTGGCTGTGGACTGGCGGAAAGCAGGGCTGCTCAGGCTGATTTAATGAGATTACAAGCTGGGGGATGGCTGGGCTTCTGATCTCATCTGATGCCTGAGGAGCATCTGAGCCAGGGCCGCGTGACAGCCTGGGCCAGAGATTGGAAGGAAACAAAACCACTGGCCATGTTGATCCAGTTAGCAGATCAGTGGCAGATCCGTTAGGCCCTTGTGAGAACTGTGCTGTGGTGGGGCTCGTGGGTGCCTTGGTGGCCCCACTGGCATCAGTGGCCCCAGCAGTCAATCCTGGTCCCAGTTGCTTTGTCATCTGCAGCTGTGACTTGGGAGCAGAGATCGGTGAGGGACCCCCAGGACCCAGCTCCTGCAGCCTGGTGAGGTCCAAAGAGTGGTTCAGACATGCGTGAGATGAGCTCAGTCTCACGGTGGTCACCCAGCCTGGGCAGCACCCACCCATCACCCTCACCCAGCCCACTGCAGCCCTCTCCTTGCTACCTTGCAGCAAGCTCTGGAGGTTGAGCTGGGCCTCCTGGTGCAGCTGCTCCATGCCCGGTGGGCGCCCAGCTGCCAGGAAGACGTTCACGGGCTGCTGCCATGGCAGCTTGGCGGGGGCGGCTTTCTTGCTCTCGACGTCCAGGTTAGAGGTGGCTGCAGGCAGGGGAGAGTGGGGTCAGAGGCAGGTGGGGGAAGCTTCCCTGCAGCTGCTGCTGTGGGGTAGTACGGTGCCAGCACAATGCTCATCCCACCCCAGCTCTCCAGGAATGCCGGGATGTGGCTGCATCCCACCCTGGCAGGCTGCTGCCTGCCGGGACCAGCCCTCATCCACCACTTTGGAGGTTGGACGCTGTTCCTGAGGGCTGCCAAGACGGGAGCTGGCTGAAATTGGGGAAGGAAGCCAACCCTGCCACCCGTGCCTAACCGCGCCTGGGCGCAGGAAACGCTGCATGCTCTGGTGGAGCAACATCCTGGCTGTGGAGGAGCAGAAGTTGCAATTGAAAGGCAGGAGCCAGGGACCCGCTGCTTCCACTGCACTGCAGCTCGGGGCTCACATACCCTGCCCTGGCGTGGACACCCCCAAAGCTCTCCAGGGAAGGAAACCTCCATGAGGATTGCTCAGACCTTCTGAAACACCTTGATGGGTGGAAAAGTCCCTGGGAGCAGGATCTGGGCTCAGCAGTGAGCTGGCCCTGTGGGGAGCTGAGCGCTGCTCCCACAAACACGCTTTGCCATGGGAATACTGCAGCCCTGACTGCACTGCTCTGAGTGGATGTGGGTTTGTACCCAGCATGGATTCAAGGCAGTGCCACCTCTGGCACACTGCCTCCAAGGGGATCCATGCCCTGTCAGGCACAGAGTGGGTCTCCGTGAGCTTTATACAGGGATATGGATGACCAGGGTCTCATGCCTGGAGATTTAGAGCTCATCCTCCGTTGTATGGTCTTGTCCCCTTCCCCATCAGCTGAGACGCTCTGATTACCAGTGTGTGACAAACACTTCCCCTCTGCCACCTGCAGTGCAACACCCGGCCCCAGGAACACACCAGTGCCCTGCTGCCAAAGCCTGCTCGGTGCCAGGCCCCAGCTGAGGCAGTGGAAGCAATCCCACATACCTGGGAAGAGGAATGGCCCCAAAACAGGTGTGGGACCCCCAGCACAAGCCACATTTCCCTCTGCCCCCATTGGTCAGGCAGCTGCGGTCCAGCTCATCTGCACTGCATCATGAGCATCCCCCCTGCTGCCCATGGTGCCATCCTGCCACAGCTGCCCTCCTGCCTACAACACTCCTGTGCCCCTGGGTGCCCTCATGCACACCCTTCCCCCAGCTGATGGATCCTGCACAACACCCAGCACCCCAAAGCAAGGTGCCATGTCCCCACCCTAGTTACTTTTATAATTTGTTTCCATAACAACGGTCCTTAACACTGTTTTTTTTTTTCCTTTTTTTTTTTTTTCCCATCCTCCTCCTCTAAATAATTTGACTTGTTTCCATACCAACCAAGAGGTGTCGGGGCGCATGTGTGTGCCATGCACAGGGCAAGGTTTGGCATCTCTCAAAAAACCTAACCCCCAGTGCCAGGGGCAGAAACCACACCTTCCCCTCTGCAGACTCCAGACCCCACAACCTGCTGTTTTTGGCGAGGTGGGGGATTCAGTGCTGCCCTGTCATTTCAGAGAACAGCTCAAAGGTGCACCCCAAACCCTGGCTTGCTGCATCCCCTGCCTGGCTCACGCAGCCCAGCACAGCTGATGCTCAGCACAGCTGATGCTCCTCACCTTCTGCCCATACACCCCCCTGCAGCCACCCCCCACCAAGGGCTCAGGGACATCCTGAGCAGCCCCTGCAGCTCCCCAGACCCCTCCTGCCATGCCCAGAATACGGGAGCTCACCTCTGCTCCTCGGCCCTGCTGCCGAGTCACCCCTGCCACCCAGCACGGGCGCCGACCACGTGGGCAAACCACAGCACCAAAGCCCTGGGCGCGGCGGAAACGTGGCAGCACCCACGCCCAGCACCCTGCCCGCTGCGGGGCAGCTTCGGCCAGAAGGGGAACACGCAGTGCCGGGGGTCCTCCCCTGTGGAGCTTCCCCCTCTTTGCTGACACATGCTCGTTTGGGGCTATGAGTGAGACAGTGTGGCCCTGAGCCGGTGCGAGCTGTGGTGCGGGCACTGCTGGCATTGCCAAGGTGCTGGCATCACCAAGGCATCGTGGGTTCCATCTCCCCAGGAGGGGAGAAGGGCTGGGGGCAAGAACTGATGAGCTGAGCACTCTCCTGGCGTCCAGATGGCCCAAACTTGCACTGCAAGGACAGCGCTGTGCCAGAGTGAGCAGCACCCTGAGGCTTTGGCTCCCTGGGAGGAGCCACTCCAAGGGTGTTTCAGGAGCAGTGGCTCCGAGGGTGTTTTGGGAGTAGCACACCAAGCCCAGGCACACGGCAGCTCGGTGATGAGGTGTAAGGAGCTGGCAGTCCTGATTCAGTGCCGCTGCACTGAATTTAGGAGCATTTTGGGAGCAGCCTGATGCAGGCTCAGTACAACGGCGGGTTGTAAATGCCCAAGGAAGCCCAGCTGCCACCCCCATCTGTGGGCATTCCAAGCAGGAATGTCTGGCAAGAGGACACAGCGGCTGGCCAGGATAGTGGAGCTGAGCTGAGCCAATGCCCTTGGCAGCGACCCTCCTACCATGCTTATCAGCAGCAGGCTCAGAGCACAAAATACCTCTGAGGGGCTCCCACCCCGTGGCGAATGCCTGCAGGAGATGAAGGCATCCTGGGACAGCAAAGCCAGAGGGATAGCTCCATCCCACCAACCTCAGCAGTCTAGACCTGAGCCTGGGCAGCCTTGCTGCTGAGGGAAACTGAGGCATGGCTGGTAGGGGGTTCACCATGCTCCCTGCTGGCACCAGGGCATGCAGAGAGAAGCAGGCAGCCTCCCCTACCCTGCCTGCCGAAGGACATCTGCCTGGAATGCTCCCGGAGTCAGCACCATCAGCTGCAGCAGATGCTGCAGCCTCGGAGTCCTGCTGAGCCAGTGTCCAGGCTCGGGGTGTTGTGGCCACGGCGGGTTCACAGGGACTGAGGCTGAATCCAAGGAAGTGCACTTGAAGGGGAGCTGAGCTCTACTCTCTCCTGCAGGAACGGCAAACCTGCAGGACCCCCAGCCCCTCAGCATCTCCTGAGTCACCCCTGCTCCATGCCAGCACCCCTACTCACCCACAGCCCAGGCATCCCGAATCCACAGGGAGATATTTGACAGAGCCATCGGAGCTGTTTCAATCCAGGCTGAAGCTCCTGTGAAACGGTGCCTCTCGCTTGAATTCACTGCCAAACTTCTCCCTCTCGGGCTCGCTCCCCACGTGCAGGGGATGCCGGGGGCGCGTCTGGAGCCGCTCGGACCCTCTGTGCCAGTGTGGAGCACTGTCAGGAATGATGCGACGGCAGCAGCAGGCGATGCGCCATCAGCAGAGCAGCCATGGCAACGGGTACAGGCACAGCGGCAGCCGCCGCCGGTCCGGAGCACCGAGCACGCCGGAGGGCGAGGGCAGTGAACCCGGGGGCCGAGGCCGATGCTGGCAGCACCCGAGCTGCCGGCCGGAGCCGTGTGCCGCCGGCTTCAAGCGAGTGCCGGGCTGGCCCTCGGTCCCGGACTGCGCGCTGTGGCGCGGGGACATCGCCGTGCCATGAGCCAGGCACATGCTGCTCCACGGCGAGCGGAGAGGAAGCGAAAAGAGCACACAGAGGGAGCTGGCAGAGGCCTCAGAAACACCTCCTGTCCCAAGCTCACCCCCCGCCGAACCGGACCTGCTGGACCAGCTCCCTGCGGGACGTGGAGCCACGTCCGTGCACGGCAGCCCCAGGGCCGGATGCCCACCCGGGTCTGAATGAAATCCTGAAGTGACATCCTGCTGACACCCCCAGGCCCAGTGCCACAAGGCAGCGGTGCTCACTGAGCAGACCTGCCCTGCGTGCCACTTGCACACGCTGTGCCTGGATGAGCTCTCACTGGAAAAGCCAAGAGACTGTGCCCTCTCCAAATCTGACGCTCTCCAGGACACCTCCCACTGTCACACGTCTGGTGGCTCAGTTTCAATCCTCCAGCGAGGCACGGCCACCTGCACAGGTGTCTGACTTGCTGGTTGGTTGATGCCAGAGGGGCAGGAAGCCTTTCAGGGGTGCAGAATTCAGACCCCAGACCCCAGCCTGGCCATGCCAGGACCCTGGTCCAGCACGTCCCTGTGCTCCCACGTAGGTGCCCAGCAGGACCACAGGCACTGAGAACCAACACTGTCCCCACACACCAGATCTGCCGGAGGTTTTCGGCTCTTCCAATCTCCCTGTCTAACAAGAAATCAGCTGCTTTTTGTACTGATGGGAGATAAGGGCACTGCAGAAGTTGCTGGTGGCAGCAGGCCGGATTTAGCAGCTCTGGGGGTGCCTCAGCTCATAGGAAGAAGGCTGGATTATGTGAGGTTTCTATGAAAACCACTAGCAGCAAACCAGTCAATAACATCCCCGTCCATCGGCGGGACTCAGAGCTGCAGTGTGCAAGGACATTCATTCCCAGCAGTGCAATGGGTCCTGCTCAGGGAGTTTTGGCAGGAGGGGAGCTGTGTGTGCTGCAGGATTTGGCTGGTGAGCCTGGCCCAGGAGGAATCCACTGTGCCCCTCGCCTGTGAAGTGGGGATGGGGACTTGCCGGCGGTTGGGTTGGCGGCGGGGTTTGGCCGGGGCCCTTGTAGCCAAGGTGGACTCAGGCTGCTCCCTGACAAAGGGCTGAGATCCACTGCTCCCAGGCCAGAGCTGCAGCACTGGGGCAAGCACTGGAGCCCCAGTCTGGCCGGACCCACATTCCTGCACCAAGCCCTCCACCATGGGCAGTAGGACCAGCACCCAGAGCCCTCTCCCAGCCCTCCGGTGGCTCCCTGGGAGCCTGGCAGCCTCCTCATATGGCAGCCCTCACTCTCCCATGCTTCCCAGCAAAACTCCAGCCACAAACTTTTCCTGAGAGCCTCAGGATGCCTGGCATGGCAACCTGTCAGACCCAGCTGGTCCCGGCAGCCCAACATCGCTGAATCATGGCCAAAGGAGCTGCTGGGCACAGGGTGGCCGTAGGCTCCCTGTGCCAGCCCTCCCAGCCCTCCCACGGTGATGTCCCCAGCCTGGCTGGGACTTTTTGGTGGCACATGGAAGCCCAGGCAGTGCTCACCACTCTGCCCAGTGTGGGCTGCCTGTGCCAGAGGCTCCTTCCAGAGGCTGCTTCCAGGAAAGCATGGCTTCCCCTGTGCCCAGCTGGTTTTACACTCCGCGGGACTGGGACAATGTGAGGAAGTCGCCTGAGAGGGGAATGTGGCCAGAGGCCCTGGGACAAAGGGGCCTGAGACCTGAAATCAGCTACAGCAGGACTGAGAGCAGTACAACAGCAAGGGTGCTGGGTGTCTGTGATGTTTGTGTCCACCCACGGTCCCATGGTCCTCCCTCCTGCAGTCAGCAGCACGTGGAAGCTGCCAGGAGGGCACAGTACCACCAGGACAGGCAGGACCTGTCCCTGCAGGACTGACACTCATCGGTCAGTGGGACACGTGGGCTGGGAGTCTCTGAATTTCTCTTGCTTTGTCAGAGCAAGGGCACCCCGCTAGGCTGGGGTATGGCTGAAGGATTTAAAAGGGACAGGGACACTCCACAGCTCAGGTCAGTCTGGGGAAGGTGACACAAGACATACTGCTGGACAGCACTGACCCTGGGGGCTACTGCGTGGCCTTCAGAGGGTCTGCACCCAAGAGCTGCCCCCAGCCCGGGGTCCCGCCCTGCAGAGTGAGCAGTGCCTGCAGACCCCACCGCCCCCACTGCCCGCCTCAGCCCTGCCCTACTGCCTGCCTTACCTGCCCGGTGCCAGGGTGCCAGGAGCCACTCCACCTTGGCCATGGCCGTGAGTGTGGGCAGAGGCCGCTCGCTCCAGCCCCTCAGGAGCTCCTGCCTCAAGCCAGGCCGAGAGCACTGAGCTTCCCCCGTCCTCGCTGCCTCCAGCTCCAGCGGGGAGAGGAAGCGACCAGGAACTGACTGTTTGAGTCAGCGCCACAGCCCATTGTCCTGGCCCCGGCCCCTCTTCCTTCCCCGGGGAAGGACGGTGGAGGGACCGTGACTCTGCACAGCCCATCCCACATCCACCCGCCCTCAGCCCCCGGAATGCACATCCCACTACATACATCGTACATCGCTGCTGCAGCACCTGGAGAGGGATGCTATAGCCAGGACAGGCTGGGCTCCCCGAGCTGGACAGGCTCATGGAACCAAAATATCCCCCAGCTGTGGCTGGAGCACCATCTGGGAGCGGTGGGTGACCTGGGGGGACACAGCACGTGGGGCCTTGTCCTCTCCCCAGAGCATGGCCATTCCTGCATGGAGTAACCACAAGACTCCTTGTGGGGAAACCAGCACCTGGAGCCTGTGGCTGCCCCCAGCCCGGCTGAACTGCTGCCCACCAGCTCCCCCAGCCCTTACAGCCAACAAAACCAGGGGCCCTTCTGAACCCCCTGGCTCTGACCTCGAGCTGCCAGAGCACCCAGAGCCTCATCTCACTTCAGCTCCTTCCAAAGCCTGGAGCAAAGGCTCCTTGGGGAACACTTTCCTGGTGCCCCAGGGCTTTGTAAAGCTGAGCTGGCTTCTCCCAGAGGACAGAGGCTCCTGGGAGCCAGGGCTACAGGACAGCCAAGAATGCTTTCCCAAGCACAGGCTTCATTCAGGAACATCCCACACCACCAGCGACCCACACCCACCACAGGGCTGCTCCTTATGGAGCCTCAGCTCCCTCCCCTTGGCAGATAAGCTCCAGCCTGGACCTGCTGCCACCTCTCTGCACGGAAGCCTGTGTGCAACTGCTTAGGAATGCCCCAGGCACTAAGGTCCCAACAGCCCTGTGAGTATCCAAGTATTTGTTCAAGCTTTACACCCAGGACGAGTTTTGAGCCATGCAGTGCCAAATCCCACTCTTCCCTGACCCCAGCAGCCACATGCATGTCTCTCCAGGGAGACCAGGCACCTGAGGGAGATCCTCTGGAGATCTCCAGGCTGGTGGGGAACTGTGACCTGAGGACAGAGATGAACCAGTGTCCAGGGCCTGGCCCCACAATCCCCCTTGGGCCCTTCCTGCAGCTCCAAGAATTCCTTTGACAATCCAGAACTGTGATTAGTTCTCCCCCTGAGTGGCACCAGGTGGAAGAGGCAGGCAGGGAGCAGACCAGCAATGGTCTGGGCACTGCTCATCTTCCATGCCTGCAAATGGGAGCCAAGGGCACTGTGCTGGGTAGCAGCTGGCACAGCATCCCTCATCCCCCGTGACCTGCAGGCCAGCACCCTGTGGTCCTGGCACTGCCTCCCGGTAGGGAACGGGCCAGCATTCCATGATCCCTCTGAGCCCCACAGTCCAATCACTGCCCACTTCCCATGGCCCCATGAGGGGAGCCAAGGATGATGTGATGTGATGGATGCTGACCAGCCCCATATCTCTCACCCACTCTGACCCGCAGCTCAGCCTCTCTCCTCGTCACCTCCTGTGCAGCCCCGAGTTCTTGTGCCCCATTTCGGTGCTTTGCACCCACCGCTACAACAGCGGCTGCAAAATTAGACGGCGGTTGTGCTGCCACCCTCTCTGCCCACTGATTATTAAGCTGTGACAGTCATTTGGGCTGTGACAAGCAGTCCCCATTCTTCTACATTTTCTAAGCAATCTTCCTGAGGTCTCTCCCAGGGCTCAGTTCCCTGCTGCTGCCCACACTGCTGGGTCCTTCTCCCAAGCCAGCAGGCAGGGAAAGGGCAGCAGGAGCTGGGGCCAGCAGAGCCCAGCATGCTGCACTCCAGGACTTCAGGGCTGATGGGCCTGGTGGCAGGAGATGTGGCAGATCCCAGATCCCAGCTCTTCTGGCATTCCCAGGAGCTGGGCTGGAAGAAGAGTTGGAGCACTGGCGAGGGTTGCTGAACTGCCTGGACCAGCTACATGGGGACAAAGGAGTGACCAGACAGGTCCTGCTTGTCTGACCCTGCTTCCTCAGAGGGCACCTGCCCTCACTGCTCACTCCCAGCTCCAAGTGGGTCCTCTGCTCCCTCTGCTCCCCCTCAAAAAGCTCCCTGCAGAGCTGCAGGGCTGTCCGCCTCCCCGAGATTGTTTGTGGTACAGGAGCCCCCAGACACCCACCACCACTGCGATGTGTGGGAGGAGGGAGCTGGGCTGCGGGGGCTGCACAGGCACTGGGCTCCCTGCCTGGGGAGGGCCAGCTCGGGGACAGCAACTACAGGGCTCCCCACACCTTGGGGCCACATCCCTGTCCCCAGGGCTGGCTCCCTACTGCCTGGGCTGCAGCCCCATGCCCAGGACTGCCTTCCCACACCTTGGGACTGGATTCCCATGCCCAGGCTGGCTCCCCACACCTTGGTGCCGGATCCCCGTGCCCAGGGCTGGTTCCCCACTGCATGGGGCTGGCTCCCTGGAACCCGGGGCTGGCTCCCAGCAGCTCGGACAGCCGCCACCTGTCCCACACGCTGGGGGACCGCGGTGTCCCCAGCGCCAGCCCCATCCCGCGCCGTCCCCGTCAGGAGGCCAAACCTCGGCCGGGGTGACCTCTGCCCGCGTCCTCCAAGCGACC